TTGGAGGTCTCACAGGGCTGGAATCTGGGGTGCAGGGGGGAGAAGTGAGGTCCCAGCAGGTGGCTGAACCTTGATGCTGAGGCAATGAATGTTAGCCAGGAACAGACTAAAGGTGGCTTGGCCTGTTCCAAGGCTCAGGAGCCCGAGAGAGCAGGGTGGGCTCAGGGGAATTTCATGGTAAATTGGCTCATTCAACATGGACTGTGTTCAGAGGGGAGGAGCAGGTGAGTGGGAGAAATCCTCAGGGGCCAGGCCGTGGAGGTCAGACTCTTTGAGGCCACTAGGGAGCCATGGGAGGGCTGTGAGCAGGGGAGGAGCAGGGTCAGGCTGTGTCAGGACAGACGAAGGGGGAGACTGAGGCCAGGAGGAGGCTGGGCATTGCACTAGGTGCTTTGGAGAGGAGGGGAAAAGGCAGAGAGATTCAAGGCAGGTGGAGGGGGCTGGGAAGGGGGTGGGGATTGTGCCAGGGGTCTGGCCTGTGATTGGGTAGATGGTGGCGTCACCTCAGGTACAGAACCCAGGGGAGGAAGGAGGAGTGGACTGAGGCGTTGAGTGAGGAGGGACACGGCACTCAGCGTGGGCCACCACGAGTATTGAAGGGAACATCCAGGTGGCCAATGGTGAGCCCTCTCCAGGGAGAGGTCTGGCCTCATCTGTGTGCCATGGAGTCGCATGACCTGCTCCCTTAACCTGTGAAAATGCAACTCCATAAGCTTGGCAGAAACAGGCACAAAACCCAAGATATTTTTTATACTCGTCCTGAATGCATGCAATTCCTACATCTTGCCTTCAACCAAAGAAATGGCGATTCGTTCCAAAGCGGGGACATAAACCGACTGTGCTGGCCTTGTAAGGAGAGAGTACAGTCCGCAACAAAGCGTGTCATCGGTACTGTGCAGGCCATTTCAGCGATTTTCCACGGGTGTGTTAACTTCAGAGGCATTTCACCTTAGGTCTGCATGTAAGATGGGTGACGCTCTATAGGCAGAAAATGCTTATGTTTAAAGGGGAGCCTCCAGCCCAGGATGTAGAGAAATATTCAATCATAGACAATGTTTAAATGCTTGTTATGGGCCAGGCTCTGTGCCAAGTGTTTTATTAGCATCTAGAGCACTTCTGTTATCTGCCTCCGTTCACAGCACTACCCGAGGATTTAGGTCTTAACCACAGTCTCACAGCTGGAGGGGACAGAGTTGGACGGGCACCCAGGCCTGCAGGCTGTAGGACCCAGTAGTCTTCAGCTCATTTTGTGGGTGAGAGGAGGAATCTGGACAGACATTTTGAATGTGAGCCCCAGAGGGCACTGGTGGGCCTTCATTTCCCTCCTTAGGGACCATAAGGTTGGAGAAAGGGGGCCAGGCCAAGAGGGGCCAAGGGTGGGGAAGGGGGCAGCCAATATCCAGCAGGGCCCCAGACCTGCTCCTCCCCTCTTCTTCCCTGAAAGTGGCTCTTCCAGTATTTGTCATCTGTTAACATTTTTCTTTACAATTCAATGTTTAAAATCTTGTTTTTAATTATGGAAAAGTTCAAACAAATGCAGAAATGTAATAGTATGGTGAGCACCCCCGTAGCCAGCACCCAGCGTCAACAATTAGCAGCAGTCAGGTTTCATCTAACGACCCACCACTCTCCCACCATTTAGATTATTATTATTTTGAATCCTACACATATCTGTTAATACTTTAGTATGTATCTAAACGATAAGGACTTAAAAAAATCTTTGTAACACAAAGTTTCCAGGCTAAAACTCATATGGTCCGGAAATCCTTAATAAAGCCATTAATACGTGGCTCAGATGAGCAAACGAGGGCAGCGGCTGCGGAGTCACTGGGGCGAGAGCGTGGGGGTTAAAAATCCAAATACCTGGTCCCCTGACCTGGGGATCTGAACTGAATAGGCCTGGTGAGGGCCCGGGAGTCCTCCGGAAGGGCGGCGCCAGTGTGACTGACCCAGGGGTGTGTGTATGGGTGGGGAAGTGGAGTCCCAGCGCTGCCCGGCCCCTGCCGGATCTCGTCCCGCCTGCAGATGTTCGGACAGCGGCGCAGCGCGCATGCGCTGGAGCTGGCGCATATGCTCTACTACCGCAGCACGTCCAACAACTCCGAGCTGCTCAGCGCCCTGGCCCTGCGCGCGCAGGACGAGCACGCCAAGGAGGCGCTGCTGGCCCACAGCTTCCTGGCCCGGCGGCCCCGGGGGGCGCGCAACAGGCCGGAAGGTAGGACTCGCGGAGCCAGGTGGCCCCGCCCCCTTTATGGCCCCGCCCTCGTTAGGCCCCACCTACCCCGTCATTTGCAGCTCCTCCCCCAAGAGCCACGCCCCAGACCAATGTGGCTGGCCTCCGACGTGGCTCCGCCTGAACAAACTCCACCCTGCCCCTACAGGGTCGAGACTCCCCGTAGTCCCAAGTGGCCCTGCCACAGTGAGACACCCGACCCCCGTTGTCCACCTCCCACTTTCAGCTCGCGCTGGTGGAATTGGTTCAGTAGACTGGACCTCTGACTTAGCTCCTGATCTTGGTGGACATGATCCTTCCCTGGGGTGACCTCCCTCTCCTAACCTCAACCTTGGCAAGAGTCTTGGATCAGACTCCTGTTGTGGCATGCTCCCCACTCCCCGCCAGCTCCTTCCTATATGTGAACCCAAATACTGCCTCCAAGAGACCCTTACCCTTCCCTGTGTAAGCCCAGGTGGTCCCTTCCCAACGGGACCCTTCCCTGAACAAGGGTCCCTGGCTTGTCCCCAGATGAGAGCCCCAAAACCGAGTCTTCTAGGCTTTGTCCGACTCCCCTCTTACACTTGTCCGACCCCTAGGCGTCTCCCAAACCCAGCACCCTCGGACTCCTTGCCCTGCACCCTCCCCGCTGTTCTCCCCCAGTCCTTTCGGGTCTGTCTGACCGCCTCACAACACCTGCCTTTCCCCCTACAGAGACCTCCCAGTGGCTCCAGTCGGAGGTGGAGAACTGGCTCCTGGCCCAGTCAGGCTGTGACGTGGCCTTCAATGGAACTCGGGCCCTGGCCCACCTGCAAGCCCTGACCCCCAACATCGGGATGTACCCGCCCCCGGGTTTCCCCAAACTAGACTCATTGGCTGCTATCACTTCCCCCAAGGCCACACCCAGCAGTGACAGCCCCTGACAGAAACCTCTCTTGCCCATCCCCGCCCAGCCACCTGGTCGGGAACTAAGCCCCGCTTCCTCCATGACGAGCTGTCAATCACGGCTACTTGGCTTTGCCCCTCCCCGCCTTCGAAGTACTCCCTGGCGACCGCCACTTCCGTTACGCTGTTTTCTTAAACAAAGCCGCGCATCGAGGCAGCCCGCCGTTGCTAGGCCCCTTCTTCCGATGAGCGGCCAATCAAAGCCTTTTGGCTCAGCGCCTGTTCCATCTCTTAGTCTCACCCCCACCATAAACATCTAAACGTGGTTTGGCTGAGGAGGGAGGGTCAGCCAATCACAGCTGTTCATCGCTGCAAACCACCAGGCACAGTTGTTAAACTGAGCCCTCCCGAGGCTATCTATCACTGTCTTTTTACCCCGCACCCGCACGGGGCAAAACTGCCCATCCTCTTCACCGAGGCGGAGCTTTAACCCGCAGCCAATGAGAGCCGTTTAGCTCGGTTCTCTGGCAACCCGCCAATGACAGCTGCCGGGCACTACCAACCTTGGGCAGCCGGTTGTCCCTGTGTCAAGCAACCAATCAGAATTTCTAACGGAGACTTGATCTTTCTACCAATTGCCGCTACTTATAAGGCAGGCCATTTGATCAAATACTAATCAGCTGGTCCAGGCTGAAGGGGTGGGGAGCTTTGTCCCAGGCAGAAAGCTGTGGGCCAGTAGGAATCAGAGACCATCTTCACCCCAAGGCTCAGGTCCACTCAGGCCCCCAAAACAAAACTCAGGTGACTTCCCTGCCCAAGTCCCTCACCCTTCCTACAGAAACTACCTCGGCCTGGATCTTGCCTCCACCAGTGGCCTGTGCAATATTTACTGATCTAGCGATGTCTCCCGCTGTCCCCTCTCCCAGAGGAATAAATCATGTTGAATAAGTCTGGGTGAGTAGGGTATAGTTGCAGGGGTTGCGGAGAAGGAAGTCATCAGAATCCTGGAAAGAAGATTCTGGGTGTTGGGGAAGTGCGTTTGGGTGGGTCTTGGGCAGAGAAAGCTGTAGTCCTAGAGAGACTGGGTTTGTAGTTGGTGAAATTGTCTGTGGATCACAGAGAAGGATCTTAGAGGCCCTCATTCCCCACAAGACTGGTCTTCTGAAGACAGGAGATAAGGCAAATTGTTCAGGGCACTAAGGCACACAGACAGGGGATGGATTGGTGTGAAATCTGGCCTCTCCCCTTCACACATGTATTTTGGTTTTTGGTGGGGAGGTTTAGGTTTATTTATTTAGTTATTTTTGCGGGGAGGTGCTGGGGATTGAACCCAGAACCTCATGCATGCTTAGCATGCGGTCTACCAGTTGGGCTATACCCTCCCCTACCCGTGTATCTTGATATGGGGTTGAGTAAGCCAGGAGAAAGGGGATGTCATCTAAGTTTTACTAAGATGTCATATGCACTAGAGGCAGTATTTGTGCGGGGAATTTGGTGGGGGAGAAGAGGGGTTTGGTTCCAAGAGGGAAATGGGAGTTTCTTCCCAGAGGAGGGGTCAGGGGGAGCAAAAAGAGGCTTAAGGATCTAGAACCTGCTTGGTTGAGCGAGAGAGGCCGGGGACCAAGGAGAGATGACATGGAGACTCGGACTCCTGGCTCTTACCCAGAGGTTCCTAATGGTTTAGACTTGGAAAGAATCTTGAGTCTTGAGATAGGAGGACCTGGGGCCTTAATCTGTGGAAAGGGAAAGGCAGCCGGGACGCTGAGCTCCTGCGTCCCGAGTTAGAAGGGACGGGAGGGGGCCTGGAGCTGGATATTCTGAGGGCAGAGCTGCTGGTGATGGGGGCATCAGGCGTGAACCGCCTGGGTCCCGGCAGGAGGAAGGAAGGAGGCAAAGGCAGAACTGGCGGTTAGACGGTTTTATTTTCTGGAGCCAGGGCAGGGGCTTCGGGGAGAGGCTGCGGGGCTGGGAGCCGGCTGCGGAGGTGAGGGGACGCGCGGCCCTCACTCCCGCTTCCGCAGGTGAATGTAGATAATGCCGCTGGCCAGGGCGAGGGGGAAGGCCACCCAGGCCAGGGCGAAGCAGTAACCGAAGCTGCCCCCCGACGGGCGCTCTGCCAGGATCTCCTTGGCGTGAATGGCGTAGATCAGCGCCCCGGTAAACACTGCCACGCCTGCGGGGAGACGGGAACCACACGTCACTCAGGACCCCCAAGAAGACTGCATTTCCCAACAACCCAAGGGGCAAAGAAGCCGCGGGAGGGCGAGTGCGCAGCACCGCTGTCTGCTGGGAACTGTGGTTCGCACCCACAGCGCCGTCCAACGGGGCTACTGCAGCGTGGCCTTGGGCAGATTAGTTAATATGTTTGCGTCCCCTTTACTCATCCATTAAATGGGACGATAATATCTACTTATCCACACAACTAAGGAGTATTTTTGAGTGCTCTTCTACAAACCAAGCACAGAAGTAGTGAATTAACAGAACAAAAGGAAACTTAGAAAGGTAACGTCCCCCCAAATTGAGGACTGTGATTAACTTAGCTCTTTGCACCGGAAATCAAAAAACTTAAAAGTATGTAAACCTCCCTGAGGTGTGTGATACACGGTAGGTCCACAAGGAAGAGCAGCTGGCTGACATTATAAGACCACTACTATTATAATTCAGAGTTCACTCCTGGGATATTAATTAGCTACCTATCCCTGCTGCCCCCCTCCATTTCTGGGATCTAAATTATTTGTCCACTTCCGCTTCCCCAGCCCTGGCTTCTTGAAGCCCTGAGTTCCAGTTCCCCCATGACTCAGACACACACACCACAAACTACCATCGAGTCACTGAAAACTACAACTCCCGTAAGTTGCTGGGGCAGAGAGGCAGCTAAGGGAGGCACTTCAGGTGGTCCTTGGGTTGTTGAGAATTGTTTTCTTTCAGTAGCTGTCCATTCTCAGGGCCCCCAGCATCGCCACAGGCCCCCCTCCCTTCCCTTCAATTCCCAGGGAACAGTGCTCACTGGTGCAAAGCTGGCAGAGGCCAGTGGCGTAGAAGAGCCCTCCTCGCCGCATGGTGTAGAGTTGGAACATGAACAGGATGAAGGACAGACAGCAGAGGATGAGGGAAAGCACCATGAGGATCTGCACTGCCTTCAGCCAGCCTGCAAAAAGGAAATAGAGGTGGAAGTCACACAGGTCCAGAGTTCCAGCTCCACCTGCTTGATCATCATTGCCCCCCTCCAACCCTTCTTCCATTTAGGGCCATATAACCTCAGACACTAAGTAATATCACTTATGTCAACCTTGATTCCTGTAACTTTCCTAAATTCCCTCATCAGTTCTAGAAGCTGTTTGCAGATTCTTTAGAATTTTCTACATAAACATGTCCACAGGGAATAGAGAAACTTTTACTTCTTCCTTTCCCAGCATTATGCCTTTTATTTCTTTTTCTTGCTTTGTTGCATTGGATACCTTAAGTACAACATTTTATAGAAATAAGAGCAGAAACTCTTACTTTGCTTTTAGGGGAAAAGCATATAATTTTCACCTTCTTTCACTTAGAAATATTGATAGATGACAGCTCTGCCCTTTTAGAACTCAGAAGCTTCTGGTCCCGCTTCATTAGAACCTTGGAAGGATTCAGCCTCATCCCTTTAGAACCTTAATGTGGTCCACCCCATTGGAACTCGGACAAATTGGTCCCAGCCATCCATTCAGAACACCTGTCATGTCTTCTTAGAACTGTGGAAACATAATCCTATCTTCTCGGAATCTTAGCTTTTCCCCCATTCCTTAAACCTATAGCATGCGATCTCCACTCCTGAGTGATAGGGAGGGGTGCTTTCAACCCATCCTCTTTAGAACATGAGCATATTTCCCCCTACCATTCAGATAGGTGGGTCATCATACATCAGCCTCAGTCACCCAGCATTGAGACCGAGACCCATGCACTCAAAACTTTGGGGGCCCCCAATCCTTGGTCCCAGGAGGAGACTTGGGGTTACCCCTCCCTTTTGCAGATCAGCCCCAGTGCCCCTCACCCCTCACCATTCTCGCTGACGTTACTGCAGGCCCACGTTTTGTTGTCATTGTTCCATGTGCAGTCATACCAGAGATTCAGGGACTCCTTCCCGGGGAGGGTCCACCAGGACTGAGATGGACAGAGGAAGAGGGGCAAAGTTAGGGTGACTGGGAAGGGTTAGGAAAATGGTGAGGTACTCTGAAGGAGGAAGGAGCTGGACTGGAGAAAGAATGGATTTAGGAGGAAAGTAGGAGAGGCGGTCTTGTTAGGGGAAAGGGTAGGGTGGAGGCAGAGCTCAGAAGGGTAAATGCTAGAGAAAGGGGGTGGGGTCAGAGTGACTTTAGAGGAGGAACTTGTTGAGAATCTTTGCAGAAAAGGAGGCCCCACGATTCCAAGTAGGCTTACCTTGTCCAAAGTGGCCACAAAAAGCAGGATGAGAATAAGGATGTGAAGGGCAGAGACCACCAGTAAGAGGAGCGACATGGCCGCGGTGGAAGCCTGGGTGGGAATGTAGAGGATGGTCACTTCAAGAAGTTGGCACAGGGCCGGTGAGATGCCTGAATCCTGGCAGAGAAGGGGGCTGAGTCCAGATTCCCTGGTCTAATGAAAAAGAGGGCTAGGGGCCTGGACTCCTGGTCTGAAGGAGGCTGGGACCAGACTCCTGGGTCTCGAGGAGGAGGGGACTGGGGGCCCAGGCTCCTGAATTCCCCAGAGACTGGAGAGGGCAAGAGATAGACTCTTGGGTCCAGGAATGAGTAGGACTAGCAATGTGGCTCCCATCATCTCAGAGCCCTGTCCCTGGGCACGTATGAGCCAGGATATGAAAATTCATATTGCCACCCTTTCAGACTCATCGGAAGCTGGGGGCTGCCCCCAGAGATGGGCATCCTTGACTCACCCCACTCCTCTCCTGAGGTGGGGGGGAGGAAGGGGGACCCGGTGAGTCATCGGGTGACTCATCTCACCTCCTCCTGTCTCCAAGCACCAGGGAAACCCCAGCCCTTGCCTATGCCCACGAGATCCCCACCCAACCCTGCCGCCAGACTAGTGTCTGCTGGACACCTTGTGGGGAAAATGGACAAGATCTCTTGCGGGTGGGGAGAGACCCAAGAAGCAGGAGCCAGCCTCCCATGACTCTTTAGTGTCCCGAGAGGGTGGGGGTGGGGGGGTGCTGGAGGGTCTCCAGACTTTGATTGTTCGCACGAAAAATCCTGTCCTCAGGGTCTTCAGGGGAGAGTGGATAGCCGTGGGAAAAAAATTGCAGGGATCTTTTGGGTAGGGGGCTCTGCTGGAAACCCTAAAATCTTGCCAAGCCCCACCCCCTCCCAAGTCCCCACGCCAAGTGCGAAGAAATCACTTCTTAAATTACAAGGATTGTCAAGGGGTCTTAGAGCTGGGGTAGGGGTAGTCTCTCCTGGGCTGGGGGTCTCCTTTCCAGTGCTGCACACACAAGTAAAGAAGGAAATCCCAGTCCGAATAACGGATTGGAAACTTACCGAGAGCGGCGGAAAAAGTCAGAGTTGGAGTCTGGTCCCTCGCTCAGGCCTCTGTGCCCCGCCCTTCTCCCTCCTTCCACCCTCTCTCGGCCCCCGCCTCTCTCGCCGCCTTCCTCCCTCCCTCGCTCTCCCCTCTGCCTCCCTCGCTCTTTCTCCCCTCCAACCCTGGAACCCTTTCTCCCTTTCTCTCTCCCTCTCTCTTTCTCTGTCCTGCCGCTTTGGTCTCTCTCTTGTCCTCACTGTTTACGCCTCCTTCCTCTCCTTCTTCTCACTCTCCTGGCTTCTATTTCTCTAATCCTTTCAATATATACTGACCCTTTTATACCCACCCTCACCGCACCCAGCTGAGGTCTGTAGCCAGAGGGAGGGCCCTGGCACTCGGCTTCCTCATTCTCCGGGCCCCCACCCACTACCCCCAGACAGGCATCTTCTGGGGCTCCCTCCCGCGGTTGAGATGAACCACCCTTGGAAGGAAGGGAACAGAGCTGGGGCCCACGGGTGGGGCCAGCAGCGGCGGTGAGATGATCCGATTCTCAGGCCTCTGCTTGGGGTCTTGTCCTGGGACCTCTGTCTGCTTTCCTTGATGGGGCTTAGGACCGGATACTCAGAGGGATGGGAGACTGAGGGAGGAGGCCAGATTTCTGCGGTGTGGAGTGGGGCTGAGGGCTGCTGGTGGTCAGGGGATGGGAAATGGAGAAGTGTAGAACTCTAGAAGGGGGCAGGAGGTGGAAGTTAAGAAGCCCAATGTTCCATTTCCTGCTTGGGGAACCTGGACCAAGTTGATCAACTTCTGAGCCCCAGTTTCCTAATCTATGAGGTGGGTACAATAACACTAATAATCCTGACAATATACTAACACCGATAATAACAATTCTGACACTTACTCTAATGAATAAGGTAAAACCAGTACATGGACACATCTAACACATGCATTCCTTTCTTCATCATTTATTGACCATCTCTTAAGAACCAGGAGTTCATGATGAAGAAAACAGAGGGAAGCCCTGCTATTCTTGTGGATTTAACTTCTAGTCAAGGGAGACAGCCAGACAATCAAGACAAAACATCAATGAAGAAGAGAAATTTCAGATAGTGATAAGTGCTTTGAAGGAACTAAAATACAGGGACATTGATATGATTGGAGACTGTTCTTTAAAAAATTTTTTTTTAATTGATGGGCGGCTACTCTGAAAGGGTCATCAGGCAAGATCTCTCTGAAGAGGTAACATCTGAGCTGAGACTTGAAGATAGGAGTGATTTGAATGCTGGGAGGGGAGAGGTAGTGCCCAAGCCTTTGAGAACAAGCTCAGGTTGTTCAGGGAGCAGACAGAGGGGCCAGTGTGGCTGGAACACAGGGCGTGAGAAGGAGTGGTAGGAAGGGAAACCAAAGAGGGCTCTTGAAGCCTAGAAAAGGAGTTTGGGTTTTCTTCTAAGTGCAGTGGGAAGCCATTGAAGAACAAAAATGCAGTACCAGGACTTAATGTTAGTTGTTGTTGTTATTATTATTATTATTTCTTGGGTTATTGAATCAGGGTGTGTGTGTGTGGGGTGATGACCACTATGTACTTAGGTCTCTCTGCAGGGTTGAGTACTGTTGAAAAGTGAAGGACAGGGAACCAGGTGTCTGGGGTCCTGATGTGGAATTAAGAGCTGGAGAACTGAAATCCGGGGTCCCTGAAAGGGAAGGGAACTGGACAATGGGATGTCTGGGTATGTGATGGGGCCAGAGCTAGGGGAAGGGAGAGTGGTTGGTCTTTTGGGCTCACCGAAGCGGTGAGGGAAGGGCAGTTCAGTGACTGGGTGGGTGCTCGGGAAGCTGGGGTACCAGTATAGCACAGGCTCTAGACACACTGGCTGGATTCAGTTCGAAGCCATTTTACTCATTAGCTGTGATTTGGGACGAGTTATGAATCTGACCCAGTTTATTTGTAAAATAGGGATATTGTAAAAGAATTATGGAGCAGTTCTTAGAGAAGTGTCTGGTACACAGTAAGTACAGTTGTATGTGCTTATTAATACAAGACATTGTGTCTCTGAGTGGATTCAGTACTGGGAGACTCTAGATAAAGGTCTCTAGGATTTGGGGAAAGGGCAAATTCTTGGACTCAGTGGATCTCAAGGCTAAAAAGTAGGGAGTACAAAATGAAGATCCCTGGGGGTGGGGAGTAAGTTGCTTCATCTTACACTTTTGAGAAGGACAGAGACCGGAGGTCTGAACTCAGTTCCACAAGTAAGTTAGCAAGTTTGGGTCACTGGGAAAAAAATGAAGGGCTGGAGATTATATGCTTTTCATGGAGGCAGAGGGGACCAGACCTGGGTCTTGGGAGGAGTCTGGGAACCAGGGACGAGGGAGACGGAAATTTGAGCGGGGTAAGCGAAGAACAGGCTAGGATTCAGTTAAGTTCCCTGAGTGGAATCAGCGCCGGAGTTGGGTGTCCTGGGGATGTTCCGGTGAGGGGTGGTGGTGGGGCGGTCCCCCATGCTAGGGCCCTGTAGAAAGGTGAGAATTCAAGGGACCAGAGGGCTGTGGCGGTATCTCCCCTTCCTGGGCCTCCTAAACTACGAGCTGAGCGCCCGCGGGCCGCTTCCTCCCACAGGAAACCGCAGGCGTCGGACACACCCAGCCTGCAGGGAACGCTGCCTACTGCTAGCCCGCTCCGTGGAGGCCCACGTGGGCAGCAGCCCGCCGTCAAGGGGGCGTGCCCTGCAGAGCCAGGGGGTGTGGCAACAAAGGGCGTGGCCGGAGAGCGAGGGCGGTACGGAGGGCCCTAGACCACGCCCACTTCCGCCTCAGTGCGCGGACCTCAGGCGGCTGAGGGTTTTTGGCCGCCTCTTCAGAGGCCGTTGGCCGCGCATGCGTCATGAGCCGCTTGGAGGACCTGAGGCAGTGGTGAGCGCCTCCCCCGACAATTCCCGGCATCGTCACCGCCTCCCTGCTAATGAATCCTCAAAATAACGCGGTCTTAGTCAGCTTAAGACAAGCAGTTCTCGCGCCCCGTCCCAAAGGACCTCGGCCCAGTTCCAGAGTCTTGCAGACGGTTCCCTCCCAGCCCTGTCTCCACGGGCTCTTTCACATACTGCTTCCCCCACCTGGAAACACACAGCTCTCCCCTCACAACCCCGTGCTCCCCAAATAGACCATCTTGACCTCCTTCCCCAGGCTCTCAGGGCTTGAGTGCCTCCTAATTAGCCCCGGTCCCACAAGTCTGGAGAATCCGCGTCCTTCCAGCGCCCTCCTAGCAGGGTCCTCACGTGTTCTTCCAACCACGCCCCTCACCAGACCCTGAAGCCCCACCCCTCATAAAGTCCGCAGACCCGCCCTTTACATGTATCCGTGCCCCTCCCCTTTCAAGGCTCCGAAGCCCCGCCCTGGACGGGTATCAGGGTCCAGGGCTTCGCTAGGGCCCCCAACCCCAACCCTCTCGGACACTCCAGCTCTGCCCTTTGCAAATCTCCGAGCTCTTCCCTCATAAGCCTTGAAGCCCCCGCACTCCGCAGGCCCACCCAGTCCCTCTCCTCATGAGCACTTTCAGCTCCGCCCGTCATAGTCCTCTACAGCTCCGCCCCTAGCAAGGCCTACAGCCCCGCCCTGAAGGCCCTCCTACCCCCGCAGCCCCGCCCCCCGCAGCCCTCTAGCCCCGCCCCTCACAGAGCTTCTCTTGCTCATCTAGTCACAGTATCCGAGATCCCCGCAGGTCTACTCTCGGCCTCCTTGGTCCCTCCTCCCTAACCTCCCCTCCCACTGCTTTCCTCGGCGGCCTTGGTCCCTCCCCAGCCTCTGTCCTGAGGCCTCATTGGCCCCTTATCTCCCCAGTAACCAGACCACAACAGTGAGCTTGGAGCGCCAAAGACAGGTCAAGCACTCCAGCAGGTAGGGATCGGGCCTCGCTCTCCTCAGCTGGCCAGAGGTTCCCCCTCTTCTGTGATCCCTTCCCCAAACAGCCCCGCCTCGGAGATACCGAGAGCCTAGAGGATATACCTGTCCCCCGCGCCAGAGTCACAGCTGCGACGCAAGACAGAATGTGAGAGGTGGAAGTTTGGGAGGGGCGTGGGGAGAGGCCTGAGAGTGTCCCCCTCCAACTCACCAGAGGAATTGAGACTCAAAGAGAGGCCAGAGCTGGTTCCGGAGTCACCCTCTTCTAACTCCTAGCCCCTCACTGTTCGTTGCCGCTCTCCTCCTAGCCCTCTCCTGCTCTCTATCTGAAGGGGTCCTGCGTTGCCCCCACAGGAGCCCCACACTCTTTGGCCAAGATGCGTTTGGGACTCTCTGCTGGGAGCACTCGCTCCGAGGACGGAAGCGAGGCCTTCCTGGAGGGTATGGGTAATTCATACATTCTTTCTTTATTTCACTCTTTCTTTTCCTTGATTTCCCCCTGTTTGAGGCCCTGTGCAGTGGGCACTGGGGAGGGGGAGGCATTCCAGAAGAGCCCACTAGTGGGCAGATGGATGGGCCAAGATGGGGGAGAGGAATGGCCAGGAGAGGTTTGCGTGGGGCCCAGAACTCCTCCCAGGAATTACCAACAGGAGAAGGAAGGGAAGTGTTTCTGCTGAGAGAACAGCATGTGGCTGGGGCAGGATTTCTCAACTTCCATACCGTTGACACTTGGGGTCTGATAATTCTGTGAGTTGGAGGATGCTTAACCATCCCTGGCCACTACCCACTACATGTCAGTAACACCCCCAACCTGCCCCCACATCGTAACAATCAAAAATGCCTCCAGACATTACCAGATGTCCTTAAAGGGCAGAATTGCTCCTGGTTGAGAACCACTGGGCTGTGGGAGATGGAGAGCTGGTGGACAAGTCTGGAGAGGTGGGTAGGGTCAGGTCTTGTGGGGCCTTGAATGCCAGGCTGAGGGGCTGGGACTTTGCCCTGGGGATGGTGCTGGAGCACCATGGGATGCCTGTGACAGGGTCAGATCTGGGTGTAGCAAGGACTCTCTGGGGCCACGAGGAGAGGCCAGGAGGTTGGGGAAGAGGCTGGGTGATGGTCCAGGCTAGGGAGGATGAGGCCTGAGCCAAGGGGATGGGCTGGGAGTGAGGAGGTGGGAGGATGGGTCTGAGGACTGCTGGGTGGTGGGCTGAAGTGGGGGGAGGGGACAAGAATGGTGTCCCTTGGAGTCTCTACACCTGTTCTCAGCTTTGCCAAGTTCTAGGTCTTGCGCTTCTGGTCCCTAAGAACTGTGAGGCCTCCCAGGAGTGCCCTCTAGTGGGGAAACAGATGTATGCCCAAACTCGAGGTAGGAGTGGGTTTAGGGGGAAAATGTGGAGGTCAGCATGGGGTACGGGGGTATGAAGGGATGAGGGATACAGGACCTGAGATGCAGCCCTAGAGTGGTGTTGGGGCCTGGGTCTGAGGTTAAGCTGCAGTTTGTGAGACCCTAAGGGAGCCAGAATTCCTAGGTCCTGGGAAGGGAGGGGCTGGGGCCTGGATTCCTGTTGAGTCCCTTGCGGGGTCCCATCCCAGTGGACTGGGAGCTGAGCAGACTGCAGCGACAGTGCAAAGTGATGGAGGGTGAAAGGCGAGCCTACAGCAAGGAAGTCCACCAGCGTATCAACAAGCAACTGTGAGCCACGCGCCTGGGTCCCTGGAGCTGGGGAGGGGGCTTTTAAGGAGGTTGAGGGGCTGACTCCTGGGTCTGAGCCGGGGGGGCAGGCCTAGTTTGCCTGGACTTTAGTGATGCTGAGCTCTGCCCCTTTCTGGCTTCCCCTCTCCCTGTCTGGGCAGCGAGGAGATCCGGCGCCTGGAGGGGGTGCGGGACAAACTGAAGGTGCAGATCAGCGTTGCCCAGAGCCAGGTCAAGCGGCTGCGGGACAGTGAAAGGCTGGAGAACATGGGTCACCTGCTCAAGTGCCGGGTCCAGGTACAGGCTGAGGTCAAGGATCTGCAGGAGCAAACCAGAGCCCTGGACAGGCAGGTGGGTTCTGAGTCAAGACTCTGTAATTCCTACTTAGGGGCAAGTGTCAGAACCTCTTTGAGCCTTCACTTCCTCATCCGAAAAGTGGGGTTACTGAAAGTATCCACCTGGGGGAGCTGTGCTCAGACTCTGGTAGGAATATGAGTATTTAGTGCTTAGCACAGTCTTGCATATTCAAAAATGGAGCTGGTACTGTTAGGAGAAAAAGATTCACTTTCTGGAATCAGTGAAGCCTGCATGAGAATCCTGGTCCTGCTACATCAGAGCTGTGCCATGATGGACAAGTCTTTACCTCTCTGGGCCCGAGTTTCTTCATCTACAAAAAGAGGATGCTGATAATGCAGCAGACCTTGTTATCTGACCTTGGAAACCTTGACTTTTCTAGGCCCAGTGTTCTCAGTTTTTAGGACCATGAGTCATCCTGACACAGTGCATACACATACAGATGCAAATGGATGCACACACACATATATATCTGAAACAAAAGTTTCCCCAAATGATACTTACTTTTTTCTGTGTGGGCTCCATCCTGCTATTTTCTGGTCTACTCTTCATTTCAAAAAGTAGCTTGCCTAGACCAAAAGCTTCCTTGCACACTGCTGGATCACACAGAGGGGTCTGAAAGTTAGTTATGTTGGTGGTCCATATTAGTTTGCTATTGCTGCTAGAAGAAATTACCACAAACTTGCTGGCTTAAAATAATACAAATTAATGATCCTGCAGTGCAGGAGGACAGAAGTCTGAAGGTGGGGGTCTCACTGGACTAAAATCAAGGTGTCAGCAGGACTGTGTTCCTTCAGGAGGCTTCAGGGGAGAATTATTTTCCTGGCCTTTTCCAGCTTCTGGAAGCTGCCTGCGTTCCTTGGTTTATGGCTCCTTTCTGTGTCTTCTAGCGAGCAGCGACTCATCCTGCATCACTCTGATGCCTTTATCATCTCTTCTCTGAATCTGACTCTCCCGCCTCCCTTTTTCACTTATAAGAACCTCTGTTATGATACTGGGCTCACCCAGACAATCCAGGATAATCTCCCCCGCTCAAGATCCTTGGCTTTATCACATCTGTGAAGTCCTTTTTGCCATTGAAGGCCACACGTTCACAGGTTCCAGGGATTCTGATGTGGACATCTGGGCAGGAGGAGGGGAATATTTTTCTGTTCTACCACATGTTCTGTAGTTTTATTACATGTGACTTTCAGTCAGTCTGTTTGTTCAGCAATCAATATCACCTCGAGCCACATTTTGTAAGCTGAATTCTGTCTGAGTCACACATGTCAGAATTTTGGCTGTTTCATGGTAGTACAGTGGCTTAGTGGGTGTTGGCTGCTTGAGGTGGTTTTTCTTTAGTCTTGGATGGAAACTCACCAGAGACAGGTCCAAGTGGGATGATTTTATTATCTTGACTCCATCTAAGAAACCTGATTATGGAGAATTGTAGGTCAGGTGGGGTCCTCAGAATACAGCTATGTAAATTTCCTCATGAGGTCAAGAAAGGATGTAGCTGTCTGGTGATATTCATTCATTCAACAAATTTTGTTGAGTGCCAAGTGCTGCTCTAGGTGCTGAAAACAACAGTGACCGAAACATACTGCATGAGAGCAGTTGACATTCTACTGGGGAGACAGACAGTAAGCCAATGAAAGCTGAAAAAAGGATTTGCTCAGAAGAAATCATCCAGAATCTCACACAGAGAGACAAAAAGATGGACGGGTGGTTAAGAGAATGGCAGACCTAGTGAGAAGGTTTAATAGATGAGTAACAAACGTTTCAGAACAGAAAGAGAATGGGACAGATGTAGTGTGTGACAGGATAACACTTGAGAACTTTCAAGAGCCAGTGGAAGACCAAATCCACAGATTCAAGGATGCCTTAGATTCCAAAACAGGATGAATAAAAAAGCCACACTTACACAGGACATAGGGAAATTAAAAAAAGGAGCCAGAAAAATTTAAAAAGCATTACTTTCAAAGGAGCCACAGTTAGACTGACAGCTGATTTCTCAAAAGAAACATTAGAAGTTAGAAAATAGTGCGTGACATTAAAACTTGACTGTCCTAAGAGAAAAATTTATCAACTTAAAAATCTATACCCAGTGAAAATATCATCCAAGAATGACAAAGCAGAATACATATTTTCTGGCAAAGAAAAATGTAAAGTTAGCCATAGTGTTTCTCAAACCATATGTGTTGAAGGATCAACTTTTAAAACTTCCAATCTGTTACTGTCTGGTACCTTTGTAAGGCTTGTGTCTTGTGTGACTTGCTATGTGATTCAACAGCACCCAAGAACGCTGTTTCTAAATGCTTACTTTCATTTTCTGAACCTATCACTCAGAGACTGATGGACAGACAGTCCTTGGACTTGTGCCAGTTCACGGCAACAATTTATGCAGATACAAACATTTTTGATAAAATTCAGCATCTATTTACGTTAAAAACTCTTAGAAAGCCAGGAATAAAAGGAAATTTCCCAAATTTGATAAAAGGGCAACTACAAAACATCTACAGCAGACACAACATTGTAAAATGACTGTATCTCAATAACAAAAGTTTTAAAAAAACATGTACAGCAAACATCATATTTGTTAGTGAAACATGAAAAAAAATTCTTCTTGAGATCAGTAGCAATATGAAGATGGCAGGTACAACTACTTCTATTTAACATTGTACTGGAGGTCCTATCTTGAGCAATATGGCAAGGAAAAGAAAAACAAAGCAATTTAAAGACAAGAAAAGAAAAAGAAAGACTGGAAAGGAAGAAATGAAATGGTCAGTATTTGTAGATGATATATTTGCGTACATAAAAGATCCAAAAGAATCTAAAGCTAACTTATAATTAACAACGTGTTTTAACAATGTGGCTGGATACAAAGTTAATGATATTTCCTTATATTAGCAATAACTATTAGAAAATAATATAAGACAAATTTATAATAGCCAAAAGAAGTACCTAAGAAGAAGTCTATCGAAAAGTGTGCAAGACCTCTATGGAGTAAATTGTAAAAGTTTATTGAGGGATATTAAGGAAGAATTTAATAAATGTAGAAATATACCCTATTCATGGATTGGAAGAGTTAGTGTTGTAAAATGTCAGGTCTCCAAATTGATTTCTAGAATCAATGTAATCCCAATCAAAATACTAAAAGTTTTTTATTTTTAATAGATGAACTGGACAAACGTATTCTAAGGTTTCTACAGCAGTGCAATGAACAAGATGACTAAGATTTACTTAGAAGAAGAACACTGTGGAAAGATTTATTTGTTCAATTATCAAGATTTATTATAAAGCTCTCATAATTGGTGCAGGGCTAATCAAATGGGACAGTGGGGCAGAACAGAGAGCCCTGAATGAGACCTATGCATATGAGGACACTTGATATATGACTTCAGGAAATGGGAAAAGGAGTTTTCTAATCATGGTGTTGTGAAAATTGGATATCCACACTGTAAGATGAAGCCAGACCCTTATTTCTCACTGTACCCTAAACTAATTCCAGATGGATCCAAGATCTAAACTTGTGAACGTGGGAAAGGGTTTCTTAAATAAGTTAGAAAAATTTCCACTTTTAAAGGAAAGGATTGATACATTCCATGACTTTAAAATTAGCAACTCCTAATTCATCAAAAGAACCATAAAGAGTGTGCAAATTAAGTCACAGAACAGGAAGGTTATTTGCAAGACATAGCTGACAAAAGGCTACTGTCAAGAACATACAAGAAACGTCTACAAACCATTAAAGAGTCAGTTCAATTTTAAAATAGTCAAAGGACTCGAGTGGGCACATTGCTAAATAAGAGATTCAGATGTCCACTAAATGTAGGAATTATCACTCATCAGTAAGCAAAGAAAGGCAAATGCAAGCCACAATGAGCTATCATTAAACACTCACCGGATTTTCAACAACTAGTGTCCAAATATACCAAATGCTGGGGAGAGAAGGCGCAGTGGGAACTATTATGAACTGTTGGTTCAGAAGCCCCCACCAGTTGGTGGGAGTATACATTGTCTTAAGTATTCTGAAAAGTTTCTTTTCCTCTACTATCTATTAAATTTGAAGATAGACATACCCAGTGATCTAGGGTTGCATCCACTCCACATGGCCACCAGAGGCAGTCTTGGGTTCCACCTGACGTTCATAGCCACAGGATTCAATAGACTACCCCTTGGCACGAGGTTCACTTACCTTTGAAGGACAGAAGACAAGAAACAACAGCATCTTTGCACGACAGCATCAAATACATCTTCCCTGAGTGGCCCAGGCCTGTTTCTCAGCATCTTCAGTTGGACGATACCACATGGGTGGGTGGGTGGGTGTTGCCCACCTGGGCATAGGGCACCTTCGTATACAGTGGGAGCCACCCCTTGTACCAGATCATGAGGGCAGCTTCTAAGATCCCACCAGGAACATACTCAGTTATAAGAAAAACACCCTACAGAAAAGCCAGTTTTCTATTCAGTCCTGGTCATGTAGGCTTTTGGGGTCTATGGGTCCACTCACAACCCTTCCAGTCTGATCTGGTTCACCAATCGGGGCCATTTTTACAATAAACATCGTTGCCTGGGAACTCAGCTGGCATTCTGTATTTACCTTAACCCAGTATGTTTCCATGGAAACAGTGTTGAAAGGAAGTAAACCAAAGTTATCTCCCAGTAGAAAATGGTTTAGATTTATCAGAAATCCTCCTCCCACCCAGTGGTTCCACTTCTGAGTATATAGCCTGGAACCAGGATTCATGAAAAGAACATAGATAAAAGTATTATTCACATTAGCTAGCTCCAAATGGGAAACAACCCAAATGTCCATCAGTATTTGAATGACTAAATAAATTGTGGTATGTTCTTATAATGAAAGAGTATACAGCAATAAAAATTACAATTACAGAAGCATGGATGAATCTCACAAACATTTGAAGGAAGCAAGACATAAAATATACAGGCAGCATTATTTCATTTATATAAAATTCAAAATCAGGCCAAGACAAACTTTCATTTAGGGGGTTTATACATGGGTGATAAAACGGTAAAGAAAAGAACTTCTCTTGAGGAAGTATGGCAAACAGATTAATGACTCGCCAAAGATGTCTGTGTCCTCATCTCTGGAACCTGTGAGCACGTTACTTTACATGGCAAGAGACCTTGCGGATGTGATTGCAGATTTTGAGATGGGTGTGCTATCCTGGATTGTCTCAATGGGCCCAATGTACTTACAAGAATCCTTGTAAGAGAGGGCAAGAAGGTCAGACTCAGAGAAGATGATGTGATTACGGAGCGAGAAGATGTAACAACAGAAGCAGAGGTTGGAGTGGCCACAAGTCAAGGACTCCAACATCTAGAAACTAGAAAAGGCAAGGAATGAATTTTCCTCTGGACACTCCAGGAGGAATGCGGTCTGGCTGACACCCAGTGAAATGACTTCTGACTTCTGACCTCCAGAACTGTAAGATTGTAAATTTATTTTCTCTTAAGGCAGTAAATTTGTGGTCTTTTGTTACAGCAGCAGTGGGGACTAACACAGGCAGGAGAGTGGTACCTGTATGGAGGGGAAGTTGGTAGTGATGAGAGGGAGACATATGCAGTGCTGTCAGTATTCTAGTTGTTGACCTGGGTGGTGGTTCAAACATGTTCACTTTTAAGATATATGATAAACTGTACCTACCTGATATATGCACTTTTCTGTGCACAATAACATTTTTTTAAAGGAAAAAAAGGTGTAAAACATCATAGACCTAAATGCAAAACCTAAAGCTCTAAAACTTCTAGAGAGAAGCATAGAAGAAAAGAATATCTTTGTAGCTTGGGTTAGGCTAAGGTTTCTTAGGTGCGGCACCAAAACCATGATCCTGGCAAGGACAAATTGATAAACTGGATTCTGTAAAATTTAAAAACTTCTCCTCTTTGAAAGATATTGTTTAGAGAATGAAAAGACCAGCCTCATTTTGGGAGACAATATTTACAAAGCCTAAATCTAACAAAGAAACCCCAGAATATGTTAAGAAGTTTTAAACTCAATGAGAAAAAAAAATGACCTAATAGGAAAAAGACTTGAGCAAACACTTCACCAAATATATGTAAGATGGCAGTAGCACATGAAACATGCTCAGCAGTATTAGTCACCAGGAGAATCAAATTAAAATCACAAGGTACTTCTATACACTTCTTAGAATGGCTCAGATTTAAGAGGTTGACCATGCCAAGTGTTGGTGAAGATGTGGAGAAACCAGAACTCTCACACCCTGCTAGTGGGAACATCAGTGGTACAACCACTTTGGAAAACAGTTTGGCCATTACTAAAAAATGAAATGTCCCCCTACCATATGATTCAGACATTTTCACTCCTAGGTGTTTACCCAGGAGAAAAGAAAGCACATGTTTATACAACAAATTGTCCATGAATATTCATAACAGCTTTGTTTGTAAAATTCAGAACAGAAACAATCCAAGGGTCCACCCACTGGTGAATGGATAAACAAATTGTGGCACATCCATGCAATGGAACACTACTCAGCAATAAAAAGGAATGGGCTGTTGATACACCCAATGATGTGGATGAAGCTCAGAATAATTGTTATGAGTGAAAGAAGCCAAACTCTTTCCTTCAAAAAAAGAGTGTATATTTGTGATTCCATTAATATAAAACTCAAAAATGCAAACAGACCTACAGTGACAGCAAATACATGGAGGACTGCCTGGGGGCGGGGGCTGCGGGAAGGAAGTGGGGAGAGGAGCGACAGAGAGGCACAAGGAGGCTTTTGATATGATTGATATGTTCACTATCTTGATTACGTCAAACATACAAAATTGCATACTTTAAATACATGCAGTTTTATTGCATGTCACTTACCCCTCAACAAAGCTGAGAAAAAAAATTTCCTACCCTCACCATATGAAAACAAAGTCTAGTTAGAGAGTCAGAGGCTTGCTGGGAAACCAGCAGTTAGCAGCAGGGAAGTGCCCTGATTTAGTAGCATCTTCTGATTTTCATAACATCAATACTCTGATCTTGGCTCTGGTGAACATAGCCTAACGTGACCCCCAGTGGTAGAATCCACTACCCCTCCGTATGGGTGGAACCTGTGACTAGCTTCTAGTCCTCTCCTTGATTGGGTTATGCTATATAAGACTGCCGTGCAGGAGCCTGGAGGAGTGCCACGTGACAGGGAATATCCTGGAGCTCCTAGGAGCCGAGAGCTTCAGTCCTGCAGCCTCAAGGAACTGAATTCTGCCAACAGCCACATGATGAGTCCCCGATGAGACCTCAGTCCTGGCTGCCACCTTGACTGCAGCTTTGTGAGCCCTGAGCGGAGGATCCGGCTGACCTGTGCCACATTCCTGATCTGTGGAAACTTCCCGATAATAAATGGGGGTTATTTCAAGCCACCAAGTTTGTGGAACAAGTTGGCCCTTCATATCTATAGGTTCTATATCTGTGGATTCAACCAATCGGAGATAGAAAATATTAAAAAAATATCCAGAAAGTTCCAAAAGGCAAAACTGAAATTTGCAGGACGGACTATTTACAAAGCACTTACAGTGTATTTACAACTATTTACATGGTATTTACACTGTATTAGGTATTATAAGTAACCTAGAGATGATTTAAAGTATACAGGAGGTGCATAGGTTATGTGCAAATACTACACCATTTTATATAAGAGACTTGAGAATCCTTGGATTTTGGTATTTGAGGCGAGTCCTGGAGCCAATCTCCATTGGTTACTGAAGGATGACTGTAGTTTTTCTGCAGAAATGGAAAACTAATACAATGGTCAATTTCAAGCTACCAACAATTTATCTCATGTGATTCCTGAAAATATAACAACCAGCTCTGAAAAGCTGTCCAAGGGGGCTCCAGGATTGCACTGCTCTTTAGCAGTGCACAGCTCTAACAGTTTGGACCAGACAACCCAGCAAGTGTTTGCATTTTAACAACCTAGAACCTTGCAAAACTAATGTACATAAATTGAAAAAGTTGTATTTCATTCTTAAAAACCACAATTACCCATGGGATGTTTGTACTTGCTGGGCACCGTGCAACTTTTCAGACCTTGGAGTCAGCTTGGACTCGCCGTTCTCATTCTACACCGATTTCTGTGCAGTACTTGCTTTTTTTTTTTTTTTGAAAATTGTGCTGGGGTAATTGTAGATTCACATGCAGTTGAAGGAGTAATCCGGGGAGATTCCACATACACTTTGCCCAATCTCCTCCAATGGTACCATTTTGGGGAGTTTGATTTTTATAGCAGCAACTGCTAAAAACTCAGTTTCAAAAGGAGTGACATTCTCCACAGGGATCTAGCACCATCTCACGTCGAACCTGGGAACAACCTTGAGCTCCTAGTTCGTGTGGCGTCTGACAATGCCAATGTCTCCCTCAAATTTTAAAATATCCCTGCAGTGCCCTGTTTGAGTTTGCTGCAAAGATCCAGGGAGCCTTGGTGCATGTATTCATTTCCTGGGGTGGCTTGGGCCACAGAAATGTATTGTCTCCCAGTTCTGGAGGACAGAAGTCCGAAATCATGATGTCGGCAGGGTTGGTCCTTTCTGAGGGTGTGAGGGAAAATCTATTCCAGCCCTCCCACCCAGCTTCTGGTGGTTTCCTGGCCATCTGTGGCATTTTTTGGCTTGTAGAAGCCTCCTTCCAATTTCTGCCTTCATCTTTTTATTTTTCTTGTCTTTTAAAGAAAATTTTAATACAATTTTTAAAGGTTACATTCCATTTACAGTTATTACAAAATATTGGCTCTATTCCCCGTGTGTTGTACAGCCTGTCTCACACCCAGTCATTTGTACCTCTCTCTCCCCCGCCCCAAATTGCCCCCTCCCACTGGTCACCACTAGCTTGTTCTCTATCTGTGAGTCTGCTGCTTTTTGGTTATATTCACTGGTTTGTAGTATCTTTTAGATTCCACATCTGCCTTCCTCTTCCCACGGCATTCTCCCCACCTGCAGATCTGTGTGTGCAAATTTCTCCTTTTCACAGAGATACCAGCCATGGAGGATTAGGGCCTAACCCCATGACCTCATTTTAACTTGATGACTTCTGTCAAAACCCTGTCTCCAAATAAGGTCACATTCTGAGGTACTGAGGATTAGCACTCCAACCTGTGCATTTTTTGGGGGTGCAATTCAACCCGGAATGGCGCACGTATTGAGAAACACGGTATCAAGCAATTCACTTATTCACTTAGTCTGCATGTGTGTTGAGCACTGACTCTGTGTCAAGCACAAAAAGGACACAAATCCTCCCTCATGGAGCTTCCAAGTTACTTGGAGGTCTAACTAGAGACAAATACAGAAGTGAGAAGGGTGGGGTAGAAGCTGGTTCCTGGCGTAAGTGGCCCTGGGGACTCTAATGGCATCAGGGCTCCTTCTCACCATCTCTTGGTCCCTCGTCTCCACTTTGTCTACTGGGCGTGGCATCCCATCCATCCAGCCCACGCCTTTCTCCCAAAATACCAGGGAAGAATTCACACTAGCTCAGCTTGGGTCACACGCTCATCTCTAAAAGAATGGTCTCGACCTGGGTCTTGTGGTTGGCAGGGCGACTGGTTATGGCTGGAAGCCGGATCCACGTGGGAGGTTGGGTACTGATCACAGAGGAAGGGTCTTAACAGTTGGCTGGGGCCACAGGGACAGCAGGTGTCACCACACTCAGTTACTCACCTTCCCACTCACCTCCTCCCTCGGTCCCTCAATCTCTCCCACATTCAGCCAACAAACAGGTACCACCCTCTTTTCTCCAGATCCAGGAGTGGGAGACCCGGATTTTTGCCCATAGTAAAGGTGTCAGGACCCCGGGATGCATGCTGGATCAGAAGGGCAAGATCCAGCGAAGGATCAAGGTCCTGGAAGACCAGTTGAACAGGGTGAGGGTCAGCCTCTTGGATGTCTCCAGGTGTGAACTCTGGGGTCTGGGGGAAGAACTGATCATGGGGTCAAGTTTCAGAAATGGTGGACCAGATGCAGGCAGGCCTAAAACCCAGAGCTCCCTGCGGGGCGTCAGGAGACAAGGTCTTGGAGGGATGGAGGGTCCCCAAGGAAAAGAGACTGATGCTGGTGTCCTCGGGGGGTGGCAGTGCTCTCAGGGTCCCCAAATTGGGAATGGGCCCCATCTCTTACAAGCACCTCCTCCTCGGCTGAGTGTGGCGAAGGGAGGCAGGCCAGTCCTTAGACAGACTCTTGGCGTCTTCTCCCACACCCCACCAGGTCACCTGTCGCTTTGACATCCAGCTGGTGCGAAATGCGACCTTGCGGGAGGAGCTGGATATCCTGAGGATTGAGAGAAACCGCTATCTCAATGTGGACCACAAGCTGCAGAAGGTCAGTGGCCTGGAAGCCCCGGACCCCTTGGAGGATTCGAGAGTCACCCTGCCTCAAGTACAGGGAGCAGATGCCTGGAGAATGTTCCAGGATGCCTCCAACAAGAAAGCAGCCTCGTTTAGATTTGCAGAAAGCAGAGTTGTCACTTTGAGCCTTATCACCCCAGGCAACCAAGGAGCAGGCCAGACCATTTACATTCCATGGGTTTCTCAGTAACCTTTGAGGTCCTTTGAAGAGCCCTCCCTTTCTCCCTCCACCTCCCTCCCACCTCCCTCCCTCTCTCTCTCTCTAAGTTTTACTTTGAAATAATTCCAAATTTGCAGAAAAGGTGCAAGAATAGTACAACTAACTATATATTCTTCTCTTAGATGGATAATTTACCACATTGACTCTCTCTCTGTATAATTATTTTTGCTGAAAATAATTTATTATTATGACTGCCGAACCATTTGAGAGTATGATGCAGACATTGCACTCCTAAGGACTTCAGTGTGGCTTTCCTAAGCACAAGACCATTTTCTTATGTAAACACGGCACCCTTCCCCCAGTCAGGATGTTTTATGTTGTTCCAATCCTAAATAGTCCATATTTAAATCTTGTGATTGTCCCAGTGACGTCCTTTGTAGCTAATTTGATTATCCTGCTCCTGGCTGCAGGGCAGGATCCCACACTGCATTTGGTTTTCCTGGCTCCGTTCATCTGGAACAGTCCCTGGGCCCTTCTTCTTCTTCTTATTTTAAAAAATATTTTTATTGAAGTATAGTCAGTTTATAATGTATCAATTTCTGGTGTACAGCATAATGCTTCAGTCATACATGAACATACATACATTCGTTTTCATGTTCGTTTTCACCATAATTTACTCCAAGATATTGAATATAGTGCCCTGTGCTCTACAGTATGAATTTGTTGTTTATCGGATTTTGTGAGAATCCTGTATTTCGAAGCAAGAGACGCTCTGCCAGAGTTCAGTAGGTGTTCTGTGCGATTCATGGGTCTTAAATGTAATTCTTGGTGTATTTGTGGGAGAGGGCAAGCTGTGAGTCTCTCTACAACATAACAGATGGGTTTATCTGATCTTTCTTCGTGATTAGCTTCAGGTTGTGCATTTTGGGAGGTATTGTGTCGTTTGCAGGCATTGTATCAGCCATGTAATGTCAGGTGCCCCATAACCAGTGACACTGACCTCAATCTCTTGGTTAGCCGTACTTCTCCAGTATAGTTTTCCTCTTTGTAATGAATAAGTCCAGGGAGATTTTTGAGACGATGTAAATATCCTATTCCCTGACGCCCTGTCACTCAGTAATTTTAGCATCCATTAGTGATTCTTTTTTTTTAACATTTTTTATTGATTTATAATCATTTTACAATGTTGTGTCAAATTCCAGTGTTCAGCATCCATTAATGATTCTTGCCTGAATAATTATTACTGTAATGGCTGCCAGATGGTGATTTTTCTAACTTGACCATTTCTCCTTCGTTTATGCAATAGCATTTCACTTAAGGAAGAGCTTCTCATTCTCCCCTGTATATTTATATTATCAGTAAGCATTCATGGGTTCTTACTTTATTCTATGGGTTATAACCCATAGTGGTCATTGTTCATCTTAATGCTCAAACTGTCCCAGATTTGGTTGGTGGGAGCCGCCTCAAGCTGGCTTCTGTGTCCTTTTGACAAGCCCATCATTTTGTTTGTTTGCTTGCTTGTTTTTGAGCACTTCCTTACTTTCTGGCACAGGAAGATAGTTCAGGTTATCTTGTCCTTGTTCTGCCTCAACACCCGAGTTAGCATTTATCCAAGGAGTCCTGGTTCTTCCTAGTGTGGATTGGTGGTGAGAAACCAAGCTACAGGCAGTAAGAGTCCTCATTGCCATGGGGGTGTTGTTGCGACGCCCCTTCTCTGGAGAGAGCTAGGAAACAGATAGTTTAAAATCATGACTTCATGTTGGTACTTCTCATTCCAATCCAGCAGCACTGGGTTATTCCCGAACATTCACCATTTTATCTTTCTTTTATCCCCTTGGGGGAACTCTGACTCCCAACAGCATTGATGCACGTACTCATTTGCTCAGTCCTCAAAACCCATGAGAGGTTCAGAATTGCTACAGCTGTACTACCACCCCCCGAACCTAGAAACGGAGTTCATGATTTGTTTGCAGATTGTTTTGTCCTCTGAGGTGTGGGTATCTACTATCTACTATCTGTCTGTCTGTCTGTCTGTCTATCTATCTATCTATCTATCTATCTATCTATCTATCTTCAAATTGTATTCAGAAGTCACTGGGATTTGTTCCTATTTTTAAATTTTTATTGTTTTTTTGGGGGGGATAATTAAGTTTATTTATTTGCATGGAGGTTCTGGGGATTGAATCCAGGACCTCATGCATGCTAAGCATGTGCTCTACCACTTGAGCTACACCCTCCTCCCAGTTCCTATTTTTTTGTCTTCTTTGTGGTTATGTTTATTTGAAATACAGTTAGGTTCATTTACTTCCTTCCCTTGTCTTTGTTGATTTAATTTTCTTTATGAATTGGTAAACCATTAATAGTGGTCCTGAATCAAAACTATTCCAAATGGTAGAAACATCATTTCCTCATCATTTCTTCCATTTGGTTCCCATTTAGCTCCCATAGTTTCTGAGTATTTATCCTGGATTTCTTGTTGCAAAAGTGTGTGTGCTTGCGTACTTATATGCACATATATATGTATATGTACATTACACTAATACACATACATTTTATATGTATCTGTGTATATATATGTGTATATACATTAATACACATATACCCCTTATATATATATATAAAATATATAGTACATAACGTATTTTATTTATACATATATATTTATTTACATATTATATATATAATTATATATTATATATATATATAACTTTCTCCCTTCTTTCTTCTGAAAGAACCCTTTTACCCATAACTCTGCAAAGACACTTCCGTAGAACTAGCATACAGATCAGCGTGGTCACCATTATGAAATTCACACAAATTTCTGACCCCTCCCCCAAAGTTAGGTTGGCGCTCTTAGGAATATACTGGGTTGGATGTTTCACTGGACTCCTGCTCATCAGTCTGGCTTTCCTTTCACTTGGAAGGACCTCTTTAAAGCCCCTTTCAAGGGTTGCCACTAATTAGGGAAGGTCCATGTTTCGAAGGCACAGGAGCCCCACTTCTTACTGGGGAAAGGCGAGGCCTCAAGGAAAGCCCTCCAGTGATGAAGATGTTCCAAGTGGCATCTGTTTTGTTCTCTTGGCAGGAAATCCAGCTCCTGCGGGACACGGTCAGCACCCTCATGGTCTCCTCCACCTCTGCCTACACTGTCAGGTAGGGCCCTGGGGTGCATCCTGGGGTGGAGGCCTGGGTAACTCAGGATGTGCCTTTTCTTAGTGATGGGAAGTTTCCAAACTCAAGAAATAGATCACCAGGACCTACTTTTTTCTTTTTTCATAAGGTGCCCATTTCTCTCCCTCTGATTTCCCAGCTCTTTGGGCAAAGTCCCTCTCCTTGAGTGCTTCCTTGCTGGATGACCTAGGCAGGTGTTTTCCCCTCTCCGAGCCTCAGTTTCCTGCACTGTGACATGGCAGTAATAATGGTAGCTACCTCAAGGGCCGCTGTGGGGATTCATGGCCCACTGTAGGGCATGGCTCTCAGGAAGTTGGGTCCCCTCTTCCCTGCCCCTCTGTTGGCATGGATCCCAAGGCACAGAAAGAACTGTGAGTCCCAGTCTCTCAGGGGCTGCCATCAGAGGCTGGAGGGGTCGCTGGGGACTGGGGCTGGTGGGTGCCAGGGAGGCCTCCCACCCAGGAGGATTGACCTGAGTGAGCCTCAAAGGAACCTGAATAGAGAAGGATGCTAGTGATCTGAGTGGAGGCAACCAAGGTTGGCAAAGGTGTGGAGGGGGACTGGGATGGTCCATGGGCAGGGACCTGAGGGGACTGGTCTGCTGTTCTCCCAACTGAATGACCCCCCCGCCCCCACTTGTGAAGTAGCCTTGAGGCATTCTGAGTTCACAGTTGACTGCACGACATTTAAAAGCTTAAAAGCTCCATCTTCAGTGGATCAGGCCAGTGGAGTTTCAGTGAGTGAGGCTTCTCGGATGTCCCTAGTCCCCTAACAGGGCATGTGCCCAAGTGCCAGTGATGTCATCTACGTGCCCTACTTAATGGTCCAAGCCTCTTACCTTCCCAAGCACACTGCCCCAAACTCCGGCACAATTACCTTATCACCTGGGGCTACCTCGGGGGTCTGAGTATACTCTACCTGTGCCATCATTACCATCCTGCCTCCTGTTCCACAAGTCACATAAGAATGCCCAGGCTTCCCCAGTGCCCCGGGCACTGCAGCAGTGCCCCCTTTGTGGGCAAGACCATCAGTCCCTTACATGACCTATCACCCCGTCTCCCCTCAGCCCTGACTCTGTCCCTCACCCCATCCTGACCCACCTCTAGGAACCTAGAGAATTTTCTGCCTTTTGTGACCTCAGAGAAACTGCAACCTGACTCTTTCTGCTTGTGTGACCCCAGGCTGACCCCACCCTTCCAATGACCCCTGGATGACCCCGCCCCTCCCTAGGCTCCTGGTTGACCCCAAATCCAACCTCCAATCTCCCTGGCCTCGCTCTAACCCACCATCCCTCCCAGGGAGGAGGCGAAGACCAAGATAGGCATGCTGCGGGAGAGGGCGGAGAAGGAGGTGGCCCAGAACGAGACGGAGGTGCAGCTCTTGCAGCGGCAGATAGGTCGCTTGGAGCAGCTGCACTGCTTCCTCAAGCTCAAGAACGGAGACCGGCAGCTGGATCCTGCCATCGTGGAGAAGCGCGAGAAGCGGGGTGAGGCCTGGGCCGCGCGACCTCCGCCTCGCGCAGGCCGCGGCG